GATTTCACGCGTCCGTCTAATCGTAGATGTCATGCAGTGTGTATTTTTTTTATCGTTGACAAGTTACATGTCGACGGTTCAGTTCAAGAAACCTATATTATTCCAAATTTTGATCAAATTGACTTTTTTGGAGGAGGGGGGGGGTGTCTGTGTGGTACAAGGCCTTGTAGAACCAAACTGGTCATTTCGAAGGTAGAGCGCTTGCCTCCGTGTGGAGAGGAAAGAAGGAAAGAAGGCACAGATTACGTACATGAACTTTTCATCATATGCCCTCGTCCGCGTCCCTTCCTGTCATATCGTTATCATTGTTTTGTATTTGTCCCCCCCCCCCAAAAAAAAAAACTACGTCGTCGTTTGTCTACATCAAAATGAAAGTTGTCCTTATTGAGTTCTTGTTTGGGTTTTTAGGGGAGGGGAGGTAACCTTTTCCCGTCTCCTGAAGTCCACTTATTTGGTTGCATTGTCACAATTTTTGTTAGCCGTTCTACCCGTGGTAAAAAACAAAATGTATTGTTTCCCCCATCCTATTTGAATAGGACGGTTCCTCGGCTGAGATCACAGTGGTTGCTCTAAGAAAGGCTGTGCTTTGATTCTCCTGCGGGTTGATCTTGAACTTGGATTCTTTTCGGATCTTCCATGACCTTCCTGCCACTCGTTCTTTTCTGCAGGGCATGAACGTTCAAATCGGATGCTGGGGTTTTCATTTACATATACATGTATGTCATTTTTGTATAGAAAGGCGTGACAAACCATAATCCTTCCATCTGTGTTTTTGTTTTTGGTTGTTGTTTTTTATTTAATTGTTGTGGGGTTTTGTTTTGTTTTTGTTTGTTTTTTGGTGGTTGTTGTTGTTTTTTTTGGGGGGGGGGTAAGATTTGCAAGGAAAATATTAATATAGAATCCGTTTTAAATGTTTGTATCTTTAACTAGTACTGGTACATTGTAATTCCCTCTACAAATACTCCACTAACCTGTATGTACATTGTCCTTGTGAGGGTTGCGTAAGTGGGTGGCTGGAGAGTGATGTGGTGTGGTTTGCTCCCTCTTTATCAAATTTATAGCCTATCTATCGTCCTTATCTCTCCACCCTCTTTTTGTGTTCGTTACTCGCTTGTAACAGCACCTCTAATCTTCGGCACTTATATAACCTTATTGTGTTGCAAGGTCCGTACGTAAAACTCTTACTAAAACTAAAAGGTTACATAAATTATAATATCCTACTTCTTTACTTTCCGTCTGTTGTTTCTGTCTCTCTGTTCTACTTTTCCCAGAACTAGATTACCCTTATTGTGTCGGTGTGCTTCTCTTTACTCAAACAAACATAAATTATATCGGTGTGGGTGGTTGGCAGGTGCTCTGGTGTGGTTTGCTTCTTTTTTCCTATCAAACATCTATCGTCCTTATCTCCCCTCCTTCTTTTTTGCGAGCGCCATAAAACCTCTACTAAAACGTAAAAAATAAAATGATATCCTGTGGTCTCATCTCGTGTGGCAGGTGTTGCTGTGGCCGTAACGAGCACTGGCACGTGCAGAGGTGTGTCCCCCGCGTGGACCCGGCCAAGCCGGAGAAATGGCACCCGTACAAGCACACCGAGTCCCGCGTCACCGACGCCTATGGGACCATCGAGTTTCAGGTGAGCAGAGAGACGTGCTTAGCGACATTGGCGTTTGTGAGGGGTTTCTTTTTGTTTTGTTTTGTTTTGTTGTTTTTTGTTGATTGTTTTTTTATTTGTTTTTTTGTTTGTTTTTCATGATTGGGATTCTTTTTAATTTGACCCTTTTTAACGTCATGGCTGGAATGTTCTTTACTGTGGACGATTGTGTATGTTCTTTTGTGAATTTGATATTGTTTCAGGGACAAATGAACACCACCTTCTGGTTGAATGAGAAAAAAATGGTGAAAAATGCTGATGTTGATTTGGGGGAGGGATGAGAAGAGGGAAGGGGGAGAGGGAGAGGGAGAGAGAGAGAGCAAAACAAGATTGAGAAGGGTTGGGTGTTATGATTTGGAATGAAGATAATATAGAATCTTTTTGAAAAAGTAATGCAATGTTTGTATCATTAATTAACTAGTACAGATACGTTGCACCTCTATCTTCAAGTGTTCTACTAACCTGTACGAACATGTCCTTAGGATTACATGAATATCTTTTGCATCATCTTGCTTGTATGTGTTCTCAGGGTGGGCCTCATCCAAGCAAGGCACAATATATGCGCCTCAGTAGCCTGGATACAAGACAGGAAAATGTGCTCACTTTGCTTATCAAGGTAAGTTTCAGTGCTTCTACCACATGAAATTGTCTCCCTTACTTACCCTGATATTTTTTATGTTTGTCTGCACAGCACGTTTTTAAATTACTCATTTGATGTGCTTAAATTATTTTTGCTACTCTGGAAGTGTCTTTGGTGCAGTCAAGTAGTCAATTGTGAATTTCTACTTCTTTGTGTTGTGTTAGGTTTCAGTGTTGTAGAGAGTTGGCTTGCGGGTTGTTTTTCTGAGTTGAAATAGGAACCTCTCTATTCCTCTTCCGTTGTCAAAGGCATGTATGCAAATGAAATTTAATCTTTTTTTTTATATTTTGCTACAAAAGCACTGGGGTTTGGACCTACCCAAACTACTCATCACTGTGCATGGTGGCATCTTGAACTTCGACCTCCAACCAAAGCTGAAAAGAGTCTTCAGAAAAGGTCTTTTGAAGGCAGCCCGTACCACGGGAGCTTGGATTGTCACAAGTGGCACCAACACAGGTGAGCCAATGCTTTAGTTCTCCAGGTGTTTTGTAAGATCTGTTTTCATCCACTTGGATGGCACTGTAACTACAAAGGCTTGGGTTTTATGAAGTTATAACATTATAATCTCTTGATGTTGATGTGAACTTGGGGCTTTTTCCAATCAAGCTGTCCAGTGCTTTTAATTTCATTATGTAAAGTATCTTTATTATCTCTTGACTTAAACACCCCCCTCCCCCCCTCCCCCTCCTCCCTGTGCTTATCAATACGTACACATTTATAGGCACCTACACATACTCGTACAATATAAATATGCACTTATGCAAGCATTTCAGGGGAAAGGGTCAGTTTTTAGACTGGTCCTGAAGAGTGTTTATTGTAAGGATTCACATAGGTGTCATTTTACTTCTTAATAATGTTTTACTTCTCTGGGGAGTAGAATCTAGATGATCTACAGGAAGGCCCTTTTTGTGTGTGGGCTAAACAAGAATGAGTTAGCAACATACGTATTTAAAGAAATGAGAAAAATTGTATTGCAAGTCATGCTGTTATTTATTTTTCATTTTGCCCATGCGTTTCTGATATAATGTTGTGCATTGTTTTCCAGGTGTGACAAGACATGTTGGAGATGCTATCAGTGACCGCACCACCAAGGCGAGGAACAAGGTTGTGGCTATCGGCATTGCCCCTTGGGGTATTGTGGAAAACAAAGAGGATCTCATAGGCAGAGATGTAAGAATGTGATGTATTTTGTTCTCACATTTGGGCTAACTTTATGTCTACCCCAGCTATATTCATCTTCGGAACTCAAGGTGTTTTACCACTAAAGACAAAATAATGAGTAAAGCAATATGTTAAGGCTCAATGAGGACAGCAGAAGTTTTCAAATCTGATTCACAATAAGGTGTGCCCAAGGGTCTAGTGATATTTTGCACTGATAGTGTTTATATTACAGCGTTTTATAGTTGACTGTTCTGCAGTTTTATTGCATCATGAAATTTTACTGTTAATCGTGTTTACATTTTGACAGAGTTATGCGGAAAGTAGTAAAAGTTATTTACAGTTCGCTCTCACCTTTCACTGAGTTTCACCTTTTCAACATCATTATTGTGAAAGCAGCAAAGGTCATTGCAAACACTATAAACACCCAGACATCTGTTTTGAAGTAGTTTTTTTTTTTTCAAAGCAAAAACCAACAGGCATAAAAATTAAATAATACCACCATCAATAAGAGCTATTTGATCATTATCAGGTGTGTGAGAATAATATCATTTTGTCTGTCCATCCAATGACTATATATATATATATATATATATATATATATATATATATATATATATATATATATATATATATATATATATATATATCCCTTTATGGAGATTGTATAATCTTATCTTATGCTAGCTCATCTTTTTCCTTTGTAAGGTGCAGAGAGAGAGAGTGTGTGTGTGTGTCCCTTTATGGAGATTGTATAATCTTATCTTATGCTAGCTCATCTTTTTCCTTTGTAAGGTGCATGAGTCAAGACATTTCCCATATGCAGTATATCAGGTGGACTAGTGTTTCAAATGTTGGTTTTTCTTCCAGATTGTCGTGCCTTATCACTGTGTGTCATCCACCAAGACCAACACGTCTGTGCTCAACAGCAACCATTCATACTTCCTGCTCCCAGACAACGGCACTGTGGGAAAGTATGGCGGAGAGATTCTCTTCCGCAAAAAGTTTGAAAAGTACATTGCTCAGCAGAAAATTTCTATTGGTGAGTTGCAACGTCTATTTATGGCAAGTCTTGCCATTCTTTATAGTGACCTTGACATTTCTTGAGATTGTTAAAGTCTAAAGCATTTGAAAGTGCAATAAGATAGGAAATAACAAGTTTTACTCAACTGCTAAGGAACATGTACTGTAACATCTTTGAAAAAAAAAAGATTTTTACTATGTGTGTAGAGAATTACAGTGCTCCGTTAACTCACTGGCTGCCCATGCCACATATAACGCGGTCATAGTACTGTTTCCGCTGGCTACCTTTGCCACAGGCCCATGCGGTTTTTGAGTTCAGAGGGGTTTTTTTGTATTATTAACTCAGCTTATGCGGTGTGGGTACTGGTTTTTAGAAACTACAACCACTTCGGTAGTGCCGTAGTGCATAGGACAATGTTTCCGTGTTTGTCACACGAAGGACAGTTACTGGCTGTAACAAACTATAATAATTGGACAGACTGTTGCCATCACTGGTCTTCTCTGTGTTCTCTATGGGTATGTACCACAAAGAATAGGGAACAAACATTTTAGTTCTATACAATTCAAATCTGATTTGTTTTCCTTGGTCCCAATTTGAGGTCCAACCATGGTTCTTTTGCGACAGTTTCCAGACCCAATTTTGTTGTTTTGTAAAAATTAGATGAAAGAAGGAAATCACGGTCTGTTTGTCGTCTTACAATATTTATTATGTCCATAATAAGTGTGCAAAGTTTTGTGACTTTATGTCAGTTAGTTTTGTCACAGTGATCATTTGGAAAACACATTGAAATAGCATGTAAGCAGGGTACATCAAAAATAAATGTGACAGGTAGTCAGTGAATCAAGCTTGCTTCTTGTTTTAATGTTATTTAAGTGTAAATTTATGTTGTCTGTTTTTAAAGTGTGATTTGATATGTTTGTACTTTTTTGCAGCAGTGTTTTTCATGCTGTTCCTGCTGAGAATAAGCCATATCAATTCTCAGTTTAGTGATTTTAAGGCCTGTAGACTGTACATTTGTGGAGGATAGTTTGCCTCTCTGTTGTCTTCCCTTACACTTCAGCTTTTCTGGGTGGTTGGCGGGTGCTCTGGTGTGGTTGCTTCCTTCTTTCTTATCAAACATCTATTATCCTTATCTCTCCTTCTTTTTTGTTTATGCTACTTTCTTGTGACACATCTATTTTCGGTACTTATATTATCTTTTTGTGTTGCTAGTGTCCTCAAACTCTTACAAAGTGGATGGTTTGCGGGTGCTGTAATGTGGTTTGCTTCTTCCTTTCTCTCAATCATTTATCGTCTTTATCTCCCCTCCTTCTTTTTTGTGTTTGTTACTTCCTTGTAACATCTCTAATCTTCAGCACTTCTATGACCTTATTGTGTTTCAGGGTTCGTAAAACCCTTGCTAAAAAAAAAAAATCCCTTACGAAAACTAAATTTCAGCTTTTTCTTTACTGGATATTTCTTCCCCAGCCAATGACTTCCGTGGTCATGGTGTTCCTGTGATCTGTGTTGTGCTCGAGGGAGGAGCCAACACCATCCGCTCTGTGCTGGAGTATGTCACGGACACGCCCCCAGTGCCAGTGGTGGTGTGTGACGGGAGCGGCCGGGCGGCCGACCTCTTGGCCTTCACACACAAGTACACCATGGACGACGGGTTAGTTGCATAGACAGTCAGCTGTTTCATTACGTGAAATATTGTAACTGACAGTAGAGATAAATGTTGTAAATAACAGCAGCAATAATAATTTTTCATAAGTTACTAATGGTTTAGTTAGAATTTCAAGTATTTGTGTTTGTTGAGTGTTAATGTGCTTATTTTCTGTACCTCTTTGGTTGTATGCAGTATTTCATCTTTTTTTTTTTTAATATGATTTTCAGAACGATGGCAGAATCTCTGCGAGATCAGCTGATCCTGACCATTGAGAGAACCTTCCAGTACACCCAGGAACAGGCAGAGAAACTTTTCATTGAGCTCATGCTCTGTGTCAAGAAAAAAGAACTGGTTAGTGATCAGTCCATCTCTTGTCTATTTTGTTGTGTCTATTGACAGATCTGTGGTTGTTTATAAAAAATTTTCTGCAAAGTCTTTTTTTTTGTATGTTGAAGAGAACTGCATGCTCTAAAGAATCATTGACAGTATATCAGGGAGCTTATATCCTGTGTCCAGTTAATTCGTGTCCAGACATGCAATCGAAATTGTCCAAGACAGCAGCTCATCATTGAGGAGAAAAGTGATTGTTTTAGACAGGTGGCCGTTAGAGTAGGATCAACTGCACTTGAAATGTCTATGGGATTTGTGACACGGTAACTTCAAATGAGCACTGGTCATGGTGTTTTTGTGTTTCTCAGCAGCATACAATACTTGCAGAAGGAATATGTATATGGGAAGGGGGGGGGGTAACTTTTTGTTTATTGTGAATGTCAACCCCATACAAATTTTATTTCTGCTGGCAACACCTGGATTAGAGTCTATTTAGCTCTTGGTTTTATGCTATTGTTTCTCTCTGGAATGTTTTCAGATCACTGTGTTCAGGATGGGAGACAGAGAAGAATCCAAAGACATTGACCTTGCCATACTGACTGCGCTCTTGAAGGGAACAACAGCCAATGCCATTGACCAACTGAACCTGGCCCTCACATGGGACCGAGTGGACATCGCCCGCAGTCACATTTTTGTGTACGGCCAGGAATGGCCCGTGAGTGAGATATTGGTTCTTTTCCAGTTATTCAGCTCAAATATTCAGATTTGCTTACCTTTTTCTTTAACTTGTGTTTGTTAAAAAAATATAAGCCATTCATTTAGACAGTAGACCAAGAAAGATGTTCACTATCAAATAAGCTAGATATTTCTGTACTTGGGCGCTAAACTTTCTATATCATGATATGATAACACTCATTTAATGATTGATAATTAGATTTTGCAAATTTCTTCTAACAGACTTGTTTAAAAGATATCTAGAGAAGTACGAAATTTCTCAGTGTTTACGAATGTTTGCAAATCTTAAAATTATAGGTAAACTTTTTGCACAAACTATCAATCATAGAAACGTTCTATTTACGGATTTTAGTCATTAATCTGTCCAAAAAGCAAATAAACAAACTAACAAAAAACAAAAATTAATGCTGTTCTTCTTTGCAACAATATATAAAAAAAATAAGGAAAGTTATTTTATGTAAGAGACTCTGAAGTCTGTATGGTCTTTTTTCTTGTCCACAGGAAGGGGCTTTGGAAGTGGCCATGATGGATGCTTTGATCAACGATCGTGTGGACTTCGTGAAGCTCCTGCTTGAGAATGGGGTCAGCATGCACACGTTCCTGTCTATACCACGCTTGGAAGATCTCTACAATACTGTAAGTAACCTCACACTGTGCTGTTTTTTTAGGACTTTAATAACAAAAAATGCTTTAGAAAAGAAAAAGTACATCTGTCAATAGTATCTGTTCTCTTCTTCAAGATAAGAAGTAGTATTTCAGAAAGTTCCCCATAACAGAACTTGTCTTTAAAAACGGTCTTCTAACTTACTTAGATACTCATGTTCCATTTACATGTAAAACACAACATTAGTGGGCCAGTGTCAGACAAGGTAATTTCGATGGATTTTAATCCTTCTAGCTCTACCATTTGGATGTTAGAGTATTTAGTTTTGTACATCTCACTCTGATTTGCTATTTTTAAATGCGGGTATTCTGAATCATTGAAATTTGGTTGAAGAATATTTTCAGGGTTCCATTGAAGATTTTCAGTTAATGTGATAGGACCAATTTACTTGTATCAGTAACCGTCTGTTAGCTAAATGAATAAAAATGTGTTTTTCGTCCTAGTGTTTTAGTTTTTTGTGAAGAGATATTACACAAGTCTGTGGAAAATCTGTCATGGTTTTAATCTGTTTTTATTTCAGAGACAAGGTCCGTCCAATACTCTGAGATATCTTGTTCGAGATATCAAAAAGGTATGAGTCTTGTAAGATTGTCTGAAATATAATGTCTGCATACTGATTGTCTAAGTTGTCTGTCGGCTGATGCTGTAGCTAACTACTGGTAACTGAGACAAATTGATTTGAAACTTGGCCAACATGCAGTGGTTTAACATTTGAATCACGGTAAGTTCTGAGGATTTCTCATCTCTTCGAGAAGATTTCCTGTTATGAATCCAAATTGTCCATCTTCAGAAACAGCCCAATGGTTGCCTAATGGGATGTTATACTCCCAACGACACCTACTAGCTCATTGATGAATGGCTTAGAGCAGACGGTCAGTTGCACTAGCTACTGTCTTCTTAGGCAGAGGGTCTCTGGTTCAGTTTATGTTAAATTAATCTTTTTTGTTTTTGTTTCTTGAAGATTTGTCTTTTCACTTCGGGTGTTAGAACAAAAGTGTCACCTTGCATCAAGCTGAAAAGATGCGTCATGTTTTGTAGGGGCCAGGACTGCCGCATGTTGGCAATCGGCGCATGTTGTGAAGAAACTATGTAGACGAGTCAATAAGGGGACGTAACCTACATAAAATGTACATGTTTTATTAGTGTAGCAGCACACTATTTCCCTTTGGTAGCAATTGCAAAGGGGACTCGGTCTCAGTAGCTGTAACACCTATGGTGTTTGCCTGTCATATTAGAGGTCTGGAGTTCGATCTCCCCCAGCTTCTATTGTTTTTTTTGGGTGTGGTTTTTTCTAATTATTTTTTTACACCTTTGATCTTATGACACAGAGGTCTCATGTAAAGGTTCCACATATAAAAGTTCCCTTGGGGATTCTAAAATCAAGAAGAGTAGGCTCTTCCATCAACCATTCGGGTAAAATTCAAAATTGATTTTTACGCAAAATTGAAGCCACTGTAACCTTAAGAGTATCTTCAAAGAGAACATGTGGCTACCTATCAGGCTGGCTAGGGATGGTTCAACTACATTTTTTTATAGATAAAACTGCCATGTATGTAAAAATCAATTTCATTGTGAGATGAAACTTTTACAGTCAGTTAAGCCCTGATCTGTAACAGGGGTATGCAGAAGAAACAATTGCAAAGAGGACAATTGGTAGAGCTGGTTTTCGTGGGCTTGTATGCCACTTATCTGCCCTAAGCTGACAGTTTTTGGCTTCAAATTTGTTTTATGTGTCAAATCGATAGTCTGATCAGTTACCCTTCCTGTGTAAAAAAATCAAAGTAAAATTGTGACTAGTTTTTTAAAATAAATTAAAATTAAAATTTGGGAAGAACGTCTTTTTTAAATTGTTACACTGTCATAAGGCCTCTTTATCTCAAAATTGCTGTGAATTTTTTTTAAAAGGTGTTTTGTCAGCGTGCAGCATTAAGGTTTATGCTCAAAATAAAATTAGAAGAAGCAAAGTATTTGTGTCAAATTGTCACCAATCATTGAGAGGTACGGTTTCAATGTAGATCTCTCTCTGTTTTGTATGTTATTTTTCTGAAAAGATTCTTCTACTGTGTGCGCTTGTTAATTGCTATCTCACATTAGGGATCCATTTCTTACAAATCATTGTTATATATGACCATTTGTACAGCCACATCATGATGCCAGATACTCTTTTACATTCTTTTCCTATTCCCTTGTGGGTTCCAGATTAAGGTTTGTCTTATAGTATACAAGGTGCTCACTGACTTTGTATACGTTATGTCATAGCTTCAATTTTTCAAAATGTATAGGCTGAAATGACTGCTGGATAAGGAAAATTAAGTAGAGTACGCTATGGAAGCGTATTCATTAGTTTTGCTGTACACATGTCAACATTTTCACTGTGTTTTTGCTTTTAAAATATTGACGTTAGTCCTGGGTTTCCCATCTGTGCATCTCCAGCATGTCCCGTCCAATTACCGCTACACCCTGCCAGACGTTGGTCAGGTCTTGCAGCACCTGATGGGCGGTGGTTTCCGGGCGTACTACTGTCGCAAACGGTTCAGGCAGAAGTACCAGGCCCTCAAGCAGACTGTAAGTACCGGCTGACTCAGCATATTCATTATGTTGTTCTAGAAGCCCTCTTAGTTTGTTCCCAATAATTCTGTTTTTGTACCTGCTTTGCGTTAGTACAATGTCATTACTTATCTTTACATTAGTGATATGTTGTGTATACTTATCAAATGAATGGTTCTGCAACTGTTGAACTGAAAAGCTTCCTTCAAGCAAGAGAAACTAAAATGTTTGAGTTTCGTTACCCTTGTTCTGAGCAGTGCAGGAGACATAAGATACTCAATTATCGGGAGTATGAAGGTCTGCCCTTTTAAAAGTCTTGTCCAGTTTCTCTCTTGTAGTAGTTGCTTACTTGTCTTATTTTGTGAAACATTATTGCACTAGACTTTCATTTTCATTTTACCACAGTTCAAGTGGATTTTGTCTGGTGTCAATTCTTACGCACTTGAAAATCGCTATGCTACGTAAACTAAATCTAATTCTTGGTTAGATATAATTCGTCTCTGCATGAACTATCCTACTTCATATTGATTTGTATGTGCTGTTGAAACGCAGTTCTCTGCGAATGTTTTTAAAACTATTTTTACACCTATAATTTTGTCAAATGTACTAACTTTTGTGTTTTGCGAATTGAATACAGTCTGTATATTATTTTTTCACATCAAGGTGATAGAATGTCCTTTATGGTGTTAATTTTCTCTCATCTTTCTGTGTTTTGCAATGTCAATGCTTTTTTTCTCAACTGAAATGGGTCCAGAAATCAAGAGTGCATGTAGATTCAGTCTAACCAAAGATAATTTAATTGTACCCCAGACCAATAAGGTTTATCTACAACTGACACTAACATTGTGGGGGGAAAATGTATGTAAAGATTGTATTGGACACACAGGAATTGCTAATCTTTGACAAATAACCAAACACCATCTTATATACATATAAATGGAACAACAGAGACTGAACAGTGGGTTTCAGTAAATGATGTGTATGAATCAGTGCAGTGCGTGTCTGTGTGTGTTTGTGCGTGTTTGTTATGTTTTGTCTTTGGCTTTGAGAGTGTGCCTGGTTTCGTTGTGCATGTATGTACTTGTTATAGGCATGTAAAGGTTCCAGATTAATTCCCTGACTTCTGAAAAGTGTGTTCTCAGGATCCAAGGTATGTGGCTATCGGTCTTCTTGTCATGATTACATGTTCCTTGCACTAACTATTTCTTTTAATTCATTTTGCACCTAGATGTCATATCCTGACTTTAAGGTAAAATTTTCAGTGTATTTTTTTATCTTTGGCACTCCTATTTGTAGTAAATTCTATTTTCCCTGTTTTTTTATCTGAGTGCAGCCATCTTTGTTCTAATATCTGTTGGTGCCGGTGAACTCAAATAATCTGTCTTATTTCTCCCTCTCCTCAGAGCAAATATATAAAGTACATTGTAAGAATGAAGGAAATTGTCGTAAAGGCTTGCTGTTGCTTTTCATTCCATGTTATGTTCATCTTAAATGTACCCACCAATGGTTGTACTTCGCATTAACGCATAAATATCAAAGTTATACTATATGTATAAAGAACTTTAGTAGTCAATGTACTGATGCACAAAATTTCATCTTTATCTTTTTAGTTAGAGTTCCCAATTAATTATATTATTTTTAATAGATTATTTGTATGAACTTTACTTTGTAGTATAGACTCAGCAGTAATGAATGATATAGCAGTAGAAACTTTGGGTTTTATTCAGAATTCGCCAACATATGCAGATTGCTTGTTTCAAAAATTTATAAATATCTGTGTAGAATATACAGGTTTGTATGCTTCGGCTTGGCGCAGCTCCTGATTTTTTCCTATAAAGGAGAGTTTCAGTCCAATGAGGAAAGAGCTCATGCTAGTATGTGTCAAGAGCATTTCTTTCTTATACTCATTATTTTTCTGTTTACTTTTACTTTTAAATCATTTAAATTTGAAGTCATTTCATTTGTTACATCATTCTTTCCAGTGTTATTGTCTTTAGGCCTAAGGGGTTGCGGTAATTGTCTGAATGAAAAGGTGGATGATTCTTTTAGTTTGTCTTTCTTCTGGTCATCTCACTGTTGGTTAGAAAACCAAATGAAATAATGCCGAATGTGTGGGCACTTATTGAAGATTGTATAACTATTGCTAATTGAAGCCACAATGAAAAGAAATGTCCATAAAGGTGTGTTCTACTGTAAAGAAAATGTTATTTACTGTATCAGATGTTAAAAGAAATCCTATGCTCATTTTAAACTTGTACAGACAGGTATTTAATTTGGTTTTCTACCTTTCTATGGGATTGTGATGATATTCCTCATTTGTAAAGAATCTATTTTGACTGCTCAGGGTTGGGCATTAATGCAAACTAAACGCCAGACTTAATTGATTGTAAAGACTTAAAACTATGCTTGTTAAAAGAACATCACAAAATGAAAAGTAAATTCATATTATGTAGCTCATATCTTCTGGCCAGCAGTTGCTCTCAGAATGAAATAAGACTAATACCTCTTTGAGTTTGGCTTGCACGAGCTTGTCAAAACCCACCAAAAGAAAGGAAAGTATGTCTGTTATACCTAGTTTAATTACATTCGAAAGGAAATGTAGATATTTTGATTTTTTATAAGGGCTCTGGGTTTTTCCCATTCTTTATGTGTTTTTCTTTGCACGAGCATTTTGTCCATTATTTTCATTTTTAGCTGTTAAAGTCTTATCCTTTTCAAATGTTTTGTAATGTAGCGAACTCAAATTCTTTTTTCATTTATTAAAATTGATCGTCATAATATTATATAGGTTTTTCTTGTTAGGTTTAGCTGGCGCTGCAGTCTGTCTGATAAGGGACATGAAATGAACTGTTTGTAAAGACTGGTATCTTTTGAATAATGCAGAAAAAAGCTGAGTTGGCAATTGATCATGGAAACAATTCCTATGAAAGTAAGCATACAAATACTGAGACCTAATCTAATGTGTGCCAAAGAGACGTTCACAATGTATTTTATTCTTGAGGTTTAATTTAGGAATTGATGTAGGGATCAAGTCTTTAAAAGGTCATATTTAAATTACATAAAACATGCCATTGTTTTAATCTAGTGATTTGTTTCATGTGGGTACTGACAAGTCTCCATTTGCATTTGCCCTTTGTGTCTTTCGTATTAAGGATTGTTTTTGTTGGGTTTTTTTGCTTTCAATGTTTTAAAGAACATTTTTAACAATACTGGATACTGCTATTATCCAGTGCAGTGCAGCGTTATACCAGTATCCTCAGTATCATACTTTTCTGTTTTCTTTTTCTTTTTTTGACTTACTATTATTTACCTCTGCATGTCACATATCCAGGTTATCAGGCAATATGATTTTTGTGCTTGTGTTTCAGGTTTCAGGACTTGATAGCACAATTGTATCAAATGAGACTGACATTTAATGCATAATGATCTTTCAGTAAATTGTCTTTGTGTTTGGATCTTTACCCAAATTGTACTTTCAATGTTGGTATGTGTGATGACCATTAATTGTTATAACCAATAATGAATTGCTTGTTTTAGCTTTCAGGTTTTGAAGTGAATATTGTATGTTTGAGTCGCCTTGTTTTTTTCTTTTTGATAAAAAAATAATGAAACAACAATTGCATTTTTGTGAATGGATGCAAATCTTGATATGGGATTGTCCTTTTGAGACTACCAACTGTTGCTTTCTTGAGCACAACAACTGGTTATTCTGACCTATCTTAATAACATTATGAATATCCTATAACTCAAGTTAGGCAATACTCTGTCGCCTGTAAAAACCTGTCTTTTTTTTGAGGAACAGAAAATTGTAGGCCTACTTAATTGTCTTTGGAATTCGATAACTGAGAACAATAATCACTGGGTTATAGCTGCAATATTTCTGCCTGTCTCATCTCATACTAAGTCGGGGAAATGTAGTAATGTTCCTGGGCCACAAATGTTCACAAAATCATTTCTTGTCGTACCTTGCTTCGATATTTATTACATTCACATGTCATTTCTGTCTGTGTCGTCTTGGGTTCTTTTTAACCGTCCTTTAAATTGACCTTTTCCAGGGTGCGTCAGTGGGCAACATCGTGACCTCCATCCCTCATCTGATGAACACGAAGCCTGTGGAGGAACTGTTTCCTTATCCCTTCCATGACCTTATGATCTGGGCTGTGCTGATGAAGCGCCAGAAGATGGCACTCTTCATGTGGCAGCACGGGGAGGAAGCTCTCGCCAAGGTGAATATTTATCTCGGGGACATTTTTTTCTTTTTAGATGACTAAAAGGGGAATCTCTTTATTCTTTTAATTGTTTCTGTACTATTGTTGTTATGGAACATTGGTTGATGAGTGGAATCCTGGCCGATATAAAATAAATAAATTACAATTTGATTGATCCCAGAAGGGCAATTTGGTTTACAATGGCAGACATTCCTTCATACATAAATACATAGCTATAAATACATACACATATACATTCAGAAATGCACAATACAGAGTTGTTTTACAACAAAGGATGGAATTCTTTATCTGGTTTGGTGTTGTACAGTCGAAAGTGTATAAGACGGCTACCAGATGTTGAGGAGAAACCTGGGTGTCTTGGACAGTGGTATTATTATATTTTTTTTAAACACACAAAGCGGGAAGTGAGAAGTGGCTATTTTATATAAGTAATTGTCTTGTACATGTGGCCGTTAGAGAAGGTCCAACTGTATTTCATTTTACCTGCATTAGCAGATGATAATTCGAAGCCAGCTTGAAAGTTTGCTTAAAAATTTCTTATTCTTAATCTATTCAGTAGCTGTTTTGATTGTTATTTCAATGCCCAACTAGATAGAAGAAGGTCATATTAAAAGTTGTTCTTGAACTCATTTTGGCTAAGATAAACATGTGCTCAAAGGAGGGTAGAATATTTTTTTTTTGGTTCAAGTCCAGTTTCAGTGCTGTGGCATGTCGAGCCTGAAAGTTGTGTCCCCCCAAAACACCTCATAGCAGGCATCTCATGTGCCCATGCTGTCCCCACCCCCATTCCTTCCCTCTCTGCCTGTCTCTCTCCCTATCTCTCCCTCTCTCTCTCTCTGTCTCTCTCTCTCTCTCTCTCTCTTTCTCTCTCTCTCTCTCTCCCCCTCTCTGTCTCTCTGTCTGTCTCTCTCAGTATCTTTCTTTCTCTCTCTCCCTCCTTCGCTCCCTCCTTCTCTCCCTCTCTTTCTCTTTCTCTTTCACACACACAGACACATGCACACATGTACTTACTCACTAACTCACTCACTCACTCACGCACTCACTCACTCACTCACGCACTCACTCACTCACTCGCTCACTCACTCACTCACTCACTCACTCACTCACTCACTCACTCACTCACTCACTCACTCACTCACTCACTCACTCACTCTTTTCTTATCATTCCCCAGGCCTTGCTGGCTGGGAAGCTGTACAGTGCCATGGCTCACGAGGCAGATCAGGACGACCTAGAGATTGAGCTTTCTGAGGAATTCAGGTCCTACGCCGGGTAAGTCACTTCTCTCCCTTCATTTTGACCTTTCATTTATGTGTTCCACCAAATAAATAAATAAACAAATAAATGAATATATAAATAAATGCATTCAATGCCAATTTGATGTCAGTATGCTTGAGAAAATAATTTCAGTTGAAGTCTTCAATTGCAGTTCCTTTCCAGTAATGTCATGGAAAGTGGGAGGGAAGTATTTTTGTGAAGCCGTGTGAACTGACCTCTAAAGTTGTAATTACACATTTTGTCCCATGGGTACAGATTTATTTCGTATTTTTACTGTTGTACTTTCGAATTATAAAGAAAAGATCCTTGACAAAACAACAGCAACAAAAAAAATGAGTTATGTCCCTTTCCCGTATACAGGATTTCAAGTTGTATTTGTATTCCGTAAAACAGGCGTTTTTTGTTGCAACAAGGCCTTTTTATAAACTTCAGCGGTATTAGAAGAAATCTTTGCTTTGACATCTGCACTATGAGTAGTATTGTACTAAAGGTCCTCAAATGTTCCCGTCCAAGAACTTCAGGTTAAGTGAGTTTTGCTGTAGTCCTTTTGGTTTTGTTAAGAAACTAGGGTGTCTTATCTAGCAATACTAATGGTTAAGGCGTGCTTGACTATTATACTGTGAAATGGAAATTTTAAAAATAAAAAAATAACCCACTGCTTAGAAACAACTAATTGGGACACTTTTGTAAATGGTTACTGTAAAACTTATGCATAACGTTTCAAACTGACTTTTCTTTTCTTTTGTTTCTTTTCTCCTTTGACGTTCACCCACCTCTCTCCCACCCCTCTCAAACCCCTCTCCCCCACCCCCCTCTCCTCCAGTGAGTTCATGAAGCTGGCCCTGGAGCTGCTGGAGCACTGCTACAAGATCGACGACGACTACACCCAGCAGCTGCTCACCTACGAGCTCAAAAACTTCAGTGAGCAGACGTGCCTGGGCCTGGCCGTCATCGCCAACCACCGACAGTTCATCGCCCACACTTGCTGCCAGGTCCTGCTCAACGACCTCTGGATCGGAGGTCTGCGCATGCGCAAAAACACCAGCATGAAGGTAAGATCATTATAACTGGAAGTGTTTAATGCTGCCTTGCATATGAGTGGTTGGTTGGCAGGTGCTTTGGTAAGGTTTGCTCCTTCTTTCCTATTTAACATTTATCGTCCTTCTCCTTGTTGGTTTATTTGTTTATTACTCTTGTGACACCTCTAATCTTCGGCATTTATATGACTTAACTGTTGTAAGTGCTGTAAAATTCTGACTAAAACAAATGACAATAACCATGGATCATTTGGAGGATGTGCTGCTTTGACCCTGTCTGTCGGTGCCAACTTGGACTGAATGATATATTATCCCAGCACCATAAAAGTATTACCATCGGTCCACTGAATCTACTATTTCCTACCTTCTCTCTGTGGATGGTAGATGAGCACTCCGATATGGTCTGCTTCTTTTTCTTGTACTGTGTTCCTATTGTCCCGCTCTTTCCTTGGCTAAATGCTGACGATATATGGGTGGTTGGTAGTTGCTCCGGTGCGGTTTACTCCTATTTTCCTATCAAACTTCTATCTATTGTCGATGTCTCTCCTGCTTCTTTTCTTTGTATGTTACTCTCTTGCTACACCTGTAATCTTTGGCATTTGTATAACCTGTCTGTGTTGCAAGTGCTGCAAAACTCTTACTTAAACTAAAACGAGCTGATTTTATATTGCTGACTTGTCATAAGCTACAACTCCACTACTCCAACTATAGTGTATGTCTTTGGCACGCTCTTAGCTCAGTTGGTTGCAAGCTGAACAGCAATGTTGATAACCATGGCTCAAATCACTAATTGGCCATTCTTGAATTTAAATGTGTGGGAAGTTTTCTTGGCTCTCCATCCATCTGGCCTTGTGGTATCGGAGATGGACGATTGACCAGGGGTCCAGTCGCTTTAACAATCTCACATCTATGTAAAGGTTGTGAGGGAATGAAATCCGTACCTTACCAACGTGGTAACATATTGATACTTTTGTTTCTCTTCATCTGCATTGCTAAGGTAATCTTGAGCATTATGTCCCTCCTCCCCCTCTTTGTCTCTCTTAGTCT